AATGTGAACACATTTGGGACTAACAGGGTTTACTAGAATCCCACCACTCCACCACAGAGTCACCGCAGTAGACGTTAGATGAGCGCTGTCGCTCCGCGGCACTTGTTGGTTTAATCAAGCACGCACACACGCACGCACCTCAAGCTGAAGTGCCGAGTGATGTTTATATTTATAGTAATAATATTACTACTACAACTTATAACATTAATCATAATAATAATAATAATAATAATAATAGGGGTCTAATAATAATAATAATAATAATAATAATAGTTATAATAATAATAATAATAATAATAATAATAGCCGCAGCAGCAGAAGAAGAGGTAAAAGTGGAGGTCGCGGTGGTGGTTGCGGCGGCGGCGGTGGCGGCGGTGGCGGCGGCGGCGGCGGCGGCGGAGGCGGTGGTGGTGGTGTAGTTGTTGCTTGTGGTCGTGGTGGTCGTGGTGGTCGTGGTGGTCGTGGTGGTCGTGGTGGTCGTGGTGGTCTTGGTGGTCGTGGTGGTGGTGGTGGTCGTGGTGGTCGTAGTGGTCGTGGTGGTCGTGGTGGTCGTGGTGGTCGTGGTGGTCGTGGTGGGGGTGGCGGTTGCAACGGCAGCGGCAGCAGTGGTGGCGGTGCCAGCGCCGGTAGTGACGGCGGTATTTTGCATGCAGTGACATTCGTACAAATAATCTTCTCATGTCTCAGGATGATCAGCTCGATGCCCATACAGCCCTACAAAGCTCCCGTGTCCGACGTGTTCCTCAAGATCGTTAAGGGCACAGACCTCAGTGGCTCCCCTTCAACCGCACTCATCGTGGGTCAGGACGCGACCTTGGTCGTCACTCTGAAGGACAACAGTACGTAGGCTTTTGTCGTTAGCAGCTTAATTTTTAGCGTTGTGTCCGCTGAAACGAGCAGCCTACGTTTTCCGAGTGGAATCTTTCGTGAAAGACTGAATACGTGATATATATATATCAAGAGCTAATAATACCTATTACTGGTATTATTAGCTCTTGATATATATATAATTCGATTTCCTAAAGAGACGTTGCGCATGTTTCCGTTCGCATTCACACTGGTATAGGATCCCGGATTCTGCATGGCCATGCTAACTATTCTGCGCCTGTCTGCATGCGACTGCCATTACGTACGCTGTACCACAGAGTGCTTGCCGTTCCAGGTCATTGGGACATCACGGTGACAAACTGCGTAGCACATGACGGTGTCAACTCTATCATGCTCATTGACGAACATGGGTGCGTCTTCTGCGGATCACTGTGACTCTTGGAACAATCAGATCTCGTGATAATATAAGAGTAATTTAATCTCATGATAATTTTGTAGTATCGAACATATTTGCTATAATTTCGAAACTGTTGCCGAAAGGTTAATCATAATAATCTATCATGAAATAATTATTAGTTTATTGCGACGTCTCTTAACAATGACGCGGTATTTATGTCAAGATATTGTTGTCATAGTAATACGGGTGATACAAATGTGACGTGACATTGTTATCGGTAATCGTTGATCGCGTAAACGATTCGATTAATCGCGTAACGTTGGAATGGCGACGCTACGATCAGTGATCATACTATAAAAGAAAAAGTCTCCATCGCTGGTGCAGCTAAACATTCGTGCCTTCATAACAGATTTTAATGGCGCTTTCGCGCATTGTAGTGATTTCTGAAACGATGAAGAAATAACATAGGATAAGTAATAACAATGAGATAAATAACATAAATAACGATCATTCACTGCAGCTGTCCAGCAGATAGCAACTTGGTTAGCCGCATCAACAAACTGCGGGATTATCCGAAGCACGGGTTGATCACCTTGGCTGCGCAGTTCACGGCATTTAAGTTCCCAGACAGACCGCATGTCTACTTCCAGTGCTCCGTTCTCGTCTGCTTCCACAAATGCTATGACGTAAGTGCTCTGCTTCTGAAAGCAGTAGTTGTTATCAGTCAAAACCCAATGACTCCATTTTGATTAGCGTAGGTAGCGTGTACATCACATCGTTGGGCGCTCTGTATGCAAGCTATAGCACTGTAGTAATATTGCTAGCATGCACTTTAGCAATATAACCAGCACTGTAGCTATATAGCTAGCACTGTAGCTATATAGCAAGCACTGTAGCAATATAGCTGACACTGTAGCAATATAGATAGCACTACTAGCGATCTGTAGCAATATAGCACTAAGTCCTAGCCACAATGTCGTTGAAGCTTAATTATTAGACTTAGCCAATACTATCCCACACGCGCAAACGCCAGCTGTTCGACTTACTGATAATTAACTAGAGCCTAGTTCACTCTTCTAATACATTATGGCTTTCAGCCGCCTTGCTACGCGGCTGGCGCATCAACGACAACGGCAGGTTCTGGTAGACGCTCCGAGCACACATCTTCTGGCGACGGCAACGTTCGGGGATTGTACACGCACGCGGCTCAGGCACCTTCGTCGTTTCCACGCGCTGCCCAGGTATATGGTAAACTCCATCAGACCGCTGACGCACCGCCCGGCAAAGCAACTGAACCTGCTATAGTGTACGATCGTGACCCCCGACAACGAGCTAAGAATTATCGCAGACTCGAGGAGGACTGGGCTATGCGTAAGAGTGAGGCGCAAAGTCAGGATCAGGACGGGTATGGTAGCGTGAGGCAAGATACTAGAATTCCCGATCCCGTCAAGGAGGATCCTGATGTTAACAGCCGTAGAAGTCAGAATACATCATCGGGGATGGATAACATCTACGAGACCATAGGTCGGATACATGAATCTAACAAGCTTCCAACTTCCGGTGATATCTCCTACGATGCACAGTTTCTCATGGAAGCCAGTTCTAAGGGACCAGAGCCTAGGGGTGATGGTACATACGCGGCCACGATTCCAATGGCCGATAATTATGATGACTTGGTTCCTAGGGATGAAATTTATGAGACTGTGGGTCCTAAAGAAAGAACATATACGGAAACTGGTCCCGAAGACGAAGCTTATGATTATCCGAATGAAGAGACGCGTGTGATTTCAGGGAGAAACCGTTACCAGTCCGGGAGAAGAAACCCGGAAAAGAAAGTGCAGTTGACGAGCTATACGTTAACTCTCGACGATTTCCCTGACTCTCGAAGACCCAGGAGACCGGTTACTAAACACGTAGCGCCACCTAGTGAACGCAGGTATGCTGCTCCGTATATGGACTACTTGGACTACAGGCAAAATTTTAAGCGACAGAGTAGCGGCTCACGTTTTAATGAAAAGGAGAACGTGGCGGGACCCAATCAAGATAGAAACAAGCTTCCACGTCATGGCAGTAGACACGAGATGCCACCTGGTGACAACATTTATGAGCTACCGCCTGGTAAGAGGAGATACGAAGCACCACCAGGTGAAAGAAGCTCTGGAGCGCTACCGCATGATAGGAGGTACGAAGCGCCGTCTGGTGAGAGAAAGTACGAAATGCCACCAAGTGAAAGAAGGTATGAAGTACCACCGGGTGATAGGAAGTACGAAGCGCCTCCTGGTGAGAGAAAGTACGAAGTGCCATCTGGTGATAGGAGGTACGAAGCGCCGCCTGGTGAGAGAAAGTACGAAGTGCCACCTGGTGATAGGAGGTACGAAGCGCCTCCTGGTGAGAGAAAGTACGAAGTGCCACCTGGTGATAGGAGGTACGAAGCGCCTCCTGGTGAGAGAAAGTACGAAATGCCACCAGGTGAAAGAAGGTCTGGAGGGCTACCCGGTGAGAGGAGCTACGAAGCGCCGCCTGGTGGGAGAAAGTACGAAATGCTACCAGGTGAAAGAAGGTATGAAGTGCCACCTGGTGATAGAAGGTACGAAGTGTTACCTGATAACCACAGGTATGCCCGATCCTCGGCTGGCAGGTACGATCCGACATCAAGAGACAAAGCCCATAGACCGCACAATACCGAACGGTTCCACACTTACATACACGACGGCAAAGGAATACCAATCCGATTCCCTGATGGCTGGGAGAGGAAGCGACATAGAAGCATCCAGCACGATGAGCACCCCGCCAGGTATGGTGCTCGCTTCTATGAGTCAGGGGCTGACAGAAGGGAGTCCCGAGATGACGATGGCTCAAACGAGTAAAAAAACAAACCTATTTACGGCGCTACAGTATAATTATACTACAGCACTTTATACGCGGGTGTATACCTACCATTTAACTTACGGCTCTCCGTCTTTACATTTAGAAACCTTTGAGTGTATTATTAGAGAACGGCTCGAATTTGTAGAATTGAGACAGAACTATCATTACATTTACAAGAGAGGTTTTCGTTTCATTTCGAATACGTTTACCGTTAGTCGCTGCGTCCGTGTACCCGTAATCTCTTGTCTATCACTAACGGCGACGAAGCACGAAATCTCCTCAGCATTAATATCCGTGATCGCTCTCTTCCAATCATGCAGGCGACGTAATCCCACATTGACCTTCTCTAATGATGACACTGACGGTGAGTTCGGCTATCCACGGGAAAGGTGGCCCCTTATCGGGCGACAGCGGAGAGATGTAGTGGCAGCACTGCTTTTAAAAAGTAACACGGACGTAGATTTCACTAAGATGAGGAGAGGAGTGATCGTCTCCTATCCAGGAGAGACGCAGCAGCCAAATCGTAAGTACGACTGTGGCATGTGCATGAGTATCGATAGCACTGATCAGGGTGATAGCGATTATATATGTTGCCGTGATGTAAGTGTATAGTCGTAATGATGACGATAGTAGTGATGATGATGATGATGATGTTGATGATGATGATGATGATGATGACGATGATGACGATGATGACACGATGATGCTGGCACTATCGGTGATGGCGATGCTGAATTAAAACGATAGTGCTGTTAATAGTCTTGCGTTCGATGTCATAACTATAGTGGCGGTCAAATGCTGCTATATTGCTGTAATTCATGCCACAAGTGCAGATATTGATTAATCGTACTTAATAATGTATTTCACAGATGACGAGTTACTACCGGGATTTCTAAAGACGGGCTGCATTCCTCGCTGGGGCTTTTCTGTAACAGTAGCATCAGTCCTGACACTGTTGCTGTTGTTGTTGATTTTTGTGTTGCATTTGCTTAGACGCCTTCACTATCGAGCCACCTCAGATCGTACAAACATAGCCCACTCTTATCAAGTATACGATAACTAAAGCCGTTGCTAAGTAAAGGTGATTTTACCACAAGCGGTTGATAAGTAAAGCCGTGATAAGCAAAACTCTTGCTTGATATTTCCTGCCTGACTATCACGCGATGTTTGTGGAGCGTATACAATAAACCCGTTTCCGAATACGTAGACTTTGACGTTCAGTTGGCGCTCCGTAACAAATGGAGTCAGTGCAATAAATGGCTTACCTATAAACAGATTACAAAGGTATTCACGTTGGAATATGTTTAATAATTAGGTTGGGCTGCTTACGTAAAATAGAACGCTTTTAAGAATCCTGCTGGAGAGCACGGAATGAAAGCTCTGCCAGCGATTTTCAGCAAAATATGATAACAAATTGATGAATTTAAATTGCTAATTCAGAAATTGTTAATTTAACATACAAATTTGATGTGTTGATAAACATATTATATTATTTAGACTATTTTGCATGACGAGAACTTTACGTAATATATTGCGAGTAAGAAAAACACGAGATATGTTACTTGTAGCAGATGTGACGCTTTTTGATGATGTGATTTTTGTTTTAATAAATATAAAGTATACTTGAATATTTATTATATTTGTTAGAAACATTAGTTGAATTGAACGAATCGGAAGTTCCCCCATGCTGAAAATCAAGGCTAAACTCGCAGGAAGCTTTAGGATGTAAATTTGTGAATAATTTACCCAGGAAATGTATTTGTCTTTCAGTTTAAATCCTATATTATTATATATGCTTTCTCGTATTATTCACGTAATGCATACAGTGATTGAGTGGCATATTTAGGAACTTCATTATCACGTTTAACACGTATAAAGAGTATATGCATGAACACACCCCGAAAAAAGCCGAAAATTTGTTTTTTTCTTTATTCACTGTCCGTTCGTCTGTATCCATATATGCACGTTATCATCGTCTATTTTGTAACTCCTTACGACCTTGGGCTATGAAGATATTTCCATACATCCGCACCCACTCATTTATTCATTGATCTGTCTATGTAATGGACAGGAATGGAATGTAACGACATTATGGCCTGTAGTATCAACGACCTTACACAATTAATATATACGATCATGGGGATATACACCACAGGGGCGTGCTAGCGTTAGTGATACTACTAGTGTTACTGCTAGCGTTAGCGCTAGTAGTGTTAGGCTAGCGTTAGCGCTAGCGTTAGCGTTAGGCTAGCGTAACCTAGCGTAGCGTAGCGTTAGGCTAGGCTAACAGTAGGCTAGCGTTAGCGCTAGCAGTGTTACAGCTAGTGTAGCGCTAGCGTTAGTGCTAGCGTTACTGTAGCTCGAGCTGATCATCGTCTGTTTCGCGGCGCTAGTCGGAGTCGGGTCGGAGTAATATGTATCATGGACATCACAATGTATCATGACATAACAATGTATCATGCCATAACAATGTATCATGGACATCACAATGTATCATGACATAACAATGTATCATGCCATAACAATGTATCATGGACATCACAATGTATCATGACATAACAATGTATCATGCCATAACAATGTATCATGGACATCACAATGTATCATGACATAACAATGTATCATGCCATAACAATGTATCATGGACATCACAATGTATCATGACATAACAATGTATCATGCCATAACAATGTATCAT